GAATAGGGTTTTGGGGTATATATTATCGGACTAGATCTTGACTGGAGGGTGGCATCTGCTTGACTCACGAAACTGAATTGTATCAAAGCCAGGACAACCCCCAAGAACCCTCATTGTACACCCCGTAGTTATTAAACCCCTTGTGAAGATATCTATGGGCTTTCAAAGGGGTTTCAATCGTGTACCAGTTCAGACTGGGGCGAAGCCCCCAAAACGGGTCAACCCAGCAAGCGGCCTGAACGCCCCGCGGCAAGAACTCCAAACCCCGATCAAGCCCCAAATACTCCAAAAACCATGAAAACCCTAAGCCCTAAAGCCTAAAGCCCGAAGCCCTGAAGCCTTAAACCGAAGCTTTAAAACCCTAAAAGCGCTTTGTGACTGCACAAACTCCAGGCTTTTGAGGCTCAGGGCCTTTGACCCTGGACTCCACGAGACTCTCAACCGAAGGCTTGGTGCTTCAGGGTTTTGGGGCGTCGAGACTCTGAACTGAAGAACCGAAAACCCTTTAAACTCGAAAACCCAAATAACATTGGAGCTCTAAAGCGCGAACTTTTGCAGAAATTCCTTACCAAAAAAACCCAACTTTCAGCAGACCCTTACTGTAAGGGTCTACTGAACTTAGGGTTTAGCTACGACGCTCTTCACCCTAAACCCCAAACCCTAAACCCCAAACCCCCAAAACCCCAAACCCTAAACCTGTTCAGCCCGGGCTCGGACATGGAGAAGGAGAGGTAGGGGAAATGCCGAGCCACTTTGAGGAGCCTCCCGAAGCTCTGAGAGGCTCTGAAAAGGTGTTTAAGATTTCAGGTTTGGGCTTTATTTAGGGTCTAAGATTTCCGGTTCAGGGTTTCGGGTTTAAGAGTTCGGGTTTAGGGCTCAGGGTTGAAGATTTCCGGTTTAGGCTTTATAGGGTTGAAGACTTCCACTACTACCAATACGCGTCCACGCGTCGTCTATAGGCGTCTGCTGCGACTATTATGATTATGGCTACTATATGACTATATGTACCTATGGCGTGTTTTTACATGCTTACTCTGGTTCCCTGCTGGGGCCATGATCATTCTTAATCCTTACTAGGGGTTTAGTATAACAAAAGTGTAAGATTGTATCCAACAAGGACGTAGTACTGGTATGGAGTATGACTGCAGCCATTTGGTGAAAGTTCGGGTCGCTTTTGCTGCTGACGTCCGCTTGGGGCTCGCAGGGCCCTAGTATTATCCCTAAACCCTAAACCCTGAAGGCAGGCCCCTAAACCCTAAACCCTAAACCCTAAGGCCCCTAAACCCTAAACCCTTAAGGCCCCTACACCCTAAACCCTAGAGGCCCCTGAACCCCAAACCCTGCAGGCCCCCAAACCCCAAAGTACAACTTAAAGGCTTACATGGAGGGGAGCGTCCAGCTTCGGTGCTTTAGGGCGGCTTGAGGTGGAGGGTGTATGGGGTTTGGGTTTGGGGGTCTTGGGTTTAGGGTTTAGCTGTTTCTGTTTTGGGGGGTCGAAGGTGTCTAGTTATTGACTGCCAGGGGTCCGGCATGGCTGGCATCAAGTCAAGAAACATTCCAGGAGTCAGGGGACTGAGCAAGTAAGAGCTCGTCGGGGCGTCAGTTTTTTGATTGCGGCTGCCCCTATATGTGTGGATCACCACCGTGAAGATCCGATTCTTCAAGTCTTCATGTACCCTTTCTGGTGTTCCCAAGACTCTGACTGACCCTCCCCATGCCTACCCCAAAAAGCCCATGCCCGACACTCTGAACACGAACCCCCGAAACCCTGAACACTTGAAACCTTAAAGGGAATCAAAATGTCGGCCCGAAGTGCAGTTCGCCTTCTGCGCTGTGGCTGGGACGGGGATGAAGTCTATAGGGGGTCCCAGAAGTGCCAAAAAAGTGCCGGGGGTTGGAGAATTTTGAAGGAGCCATCTCGAGAGAGAGAGAGAGAGAGAGAGAGAGAGAGAGAGAGAGAGAGAATGAATCCTACACTCTAAATCCAGAATCCAGAACCCAAAAAGAACAGCACAGCCAA